CCTTTTTTTTTTTCCCTTTCTTGGCGCCGTGGCACCTTCTCTCGGGTTTGATGTTCCAAAACATGCATTTAGTCATATAACAGTCTTCTTTCAAGCTAAACTCTTAATTATAATTGAAATTTAATCTCCACAACTTAGGACTCTACAAATCCAAGTATCTTCTACTTCATCCAATCAACCAAATAACAAAACACATGAAATTTGGATGACGCTACAACAAATCTTCACCTTGAACCAAATTCCATCAGAATGAATTAAAATACATCTTCAAGTAAACAATGTATAATACTCAGATCCTCGTCACATGAGCAAATAATCCTGGAGGCGAAGGAGATCCAAGCTGTTGGTCAGACAAGTTTAAATAGTTCACTGAAAAAAAATACTCAGGTTGTGATACAAAGTAAAGTAGACTAAGACTACTAGCCAAAATTATTGGAACAAGAAATTATGGCTACCACAATGACAAAAGTTATAACCTAAAAATGAAAAGCAAAGCCTTCTTTACATTTTGATTACTACTCTGGTAGCAAAATTGTTAGGCAACCTGCTGTTTCATGGAGAAAACATGTACATGATAGTCATGTTTGGTATCTGATGTTAGGAAAAATACAAAAAGAAACCAAAAATTAAATAGAGAATTGAAACCAAAAATTTGTTGTTACAATTTCTATTTCATCAATTATTTTTTATTTATTTTTCCAACATCTGGCACTCGATAGGACTAAATTTCGAGATTGGTAAGAGCAAGCAACAACATTGGAAGCAAAATAGAACAACCTAAAACAATGCATATCAGTGGGAATTGAGTGAAAGTTTAATTACTGGAATATTTATGCACGAATAATTAAGTGTTTTTATGCTTTTTCGAACAAAGAATTCAAGTATAATAGTCAAGAACACAAACAAACATCCATCATCAAGACTAATTATTGAATCCAGTTGATGCACACCCTATTTCCATAATATTTTGTTCGAATTAGTATAATATGGTTGATTTATTCATAAGGCTTACGTTAAACCATATTTTTGAACAATTATTTTATTATATTAGTGTTCGTACACGATATTAGATATTGAACTATAATGAGATGGATGCCTACTTATTAGGGAAAATTTGACAACTCCTATAAAAATGAGAAACATTTCATGAAATTGCAAGAATTAGGTCACTTCAAAATTAAAATTTTGTATTTTAGAATTTTGTAGGTTCACTAAATTAGAAGATTCATATAGAACTAATACATAATTATATGAAAATAGTTTATTTCTTTTAATCCCTGTTTGACAATCATTATTTGAGCAAATAGAGTTTTGAATAGTGACTTTTTGGAGGATATGTCATTAAAAAGTAGGGAAATTTTTGAATTTATGTACATAATATTTTATTGTGTGAATGTATGATTAAAAATAAATATGTAAAAAAGACTTTTAAAAAAGGTTGTTAAACAGGGCCTAAATGTATCCCTACAATCTAGAAATTTAATTATTTTCTCTTAAATAAAACATGTTCGACGACATCAACTATTGAAATCTATGTAAATTATGGATAGACATTGTAGTAATTAGAAGAAACATTGAAGGTGTATCGTGACTTCTATGGTAGGGCACATGACTCCTATCATGTGTTTATATGTCACCTTTGTGATCATGCATGAATTGTTTAATAAAAAATAGTTGTGACTTTTCGATAATTCTATATCGTATATTTATGATTAATTCAGATGGTAAGAATTCACGTGAGATGTGACATACAAATATGACTTTGACTATTGCTATTTCATAGATTTGCTACAACTTCATATGATGATTATTCGTGTAGATGCAAATGGTTGTTAGGGGATGTTTGATATATATTATTGAGAGAATAATGTATTTTAAATAGTGATGTAATGAAAAATATGTGGTTAAAAAATAAGGAAATTCTTTGAATATGATGGAAAATATTATTTTATTGAAGAATATGCGGTTGAAACTGAGTTTTGAAAGAATGCTGATCAAACAGGAGCTAAATGTGATTGTTGTGATTTTAATGGGATGTTTAATGTACAATTATAATTTGTATAAGTTGTATCCTTCTATATTGTAGAGTTGTAACCCCCAATTTTGTGACCCTATGACTTTGTAAATAGAAAGATAATGATTTTTTTTTTAGTACAAGTCAAGTGAACGATTAAGTCTCTCTTTATATCGCAATAAGAACATACAGTTAAAATTATCTGTATTTTGGAAAAATATCATAAATGCAAAAAAATTATAAACAAAATTTTGAAATTTTGAAAAAAATAAATTCTCAAACATCTGGTTTAAGAATTTTTCTTAGTGATAAAACATTTTACACGTAAATTTAACTTTTTTTTCTCTTTTTTCAATCACATATTTTTTAAAAAATCACTATTTGAAAATATCACCTTTTTTTTTTTTTTCCAATAATGAGTCACCAAACACGGGGCTTAATTTGTCAAAAAGTAGAAGTTAAATATTCGTTTGATTTTTTTCTTTATTTATTTTACTTGTTTGAGCCATCCTAAAAATGCATTAGAATGGGATAGTGGCAAAAGGTGAGACATATTCATCATCCCATTGGCACCAATTTATCTTGCATTGCAGTGATTTCTACTCAACTTATTCATCAACAAAATTTGAAGGTAGATTCGGATTTTATTATTGTAAAAACTAGCTTTATACGTTGAAATCTCGCTCGATCTGATTGTTTCTTGATGGTAATCTTCATCTAGCAACAGTTTTTTTTTTTCCGACGACATTCCTCTTGAATTTTGATGCGGTTGTATATGATTTTCTCATTGCCTGAAAAACTGGCCGCCCCTCATGTGTAATAGGTGAAATACCCAGGCCACAGGTGGCTCCGCCCCTGTTACTAATTTTGGTGGAAAATGATGATATCTTGATTTTGAATCTGAAAGCAATCTTTTTTGTTCTATAGAGAATTTAGGTGCGAAAATGAATTTTCTGATGCTGCGATCCAATAATCAAACTGGTTCTCAAGAGCAGCAGCACCCTGTTCAAGATTCTCATGTAGAACAAATGTTGAAACGCACGAATACTCTGGGGGGCCTTATTGCAGAAGATCCATTTCAGGACAGTAGAACTTCTGAAACTCGCGATGCAGAAAGTGACGAATACGAGGACGATAATGGCAGCTTTCCAGGTTCAAGTGGAAAGAGTAACATTCAAATTCATAGCCATGTAGACGTTGCAGAAGACGAAGGATGGATAATTATTCCATATAGTACGGCATCTTGCCTGGCTTTATTGTTTACAGCATTTAATTGTGCGTGCGTGTTCAAAGTTGTTATATAAATTGTCTTATCTGGCTCCTTAGCATTGTCAATCCTGTTAAGATTAGTATATTGCTTCTGAATATTATAAAAAATAAAGATGAAAATAATTAAGTCAAATCAATGGAGTTATATACTCCTTTAATATGAGTCACTCTGATTTACTACAGCAAGGCAGCCACTATGTTTATACCCTGAAGCCTAAAGATGGTATCATAATTCTTTATTTCTCTTTCTTTCTTTCTTTCTTTCTTTTTCTTTTTTTTTCTTTGGCTGGAAACTTAAATTCTTCTAGTGTATACCTTTTTTTTAATCTTGCACCAAGAATGGATCTACATGGAAAGTGAAATTATTGCCTCAGTTCTTTGATTTCTGCACAAGTATACTGAATTTTCTGCAATTTTTTGGTCGTTCCTTCCACATCAGATTTTTGTTGATTGAAAGAGGTCAGGTTACAATAGCATAGATGGATAATGAATCCAACCTGCATCATAATGTGACTATATTCAGGTCATGCTTGGGCATCTGAGTATTTGAGTACAATCTATAGTCTGATGTTGCCACCTCACTTAAAAAATTCTAATGTTAGATCCCTAGTTTCCGTTTCATTAGATTCTTATTTAATTTATCTCTTTGGAGAGTGTTTTGGCATCACATTTGCCTTTCTGTTTCTGAGTAAACTTAAGTATAACCAGATGAATAAAGAAATAGGGAGATGATGAAATAAGGGCATTAAACATGCTTATAATTGTGCTGGACAATCTTCTTTTTCCAACACAACTTGACAAAACCACAAATTCTGAAGGGATTATAGTTCTTTTTAAGTAACAAATATATTATAATTCCCCCCATTCACGGTCAATTGACCACAGCTTCCAAACATGTCTGTGTATCAATGTGTCCAAGTGTATGTTTCAGTTTCTTAGTATTTGCTCAGTTAACAGTGTTTCCTTATGAGGACAAAAGAGTCATTTTGTTCTGGTAAGTACTAAAGGTCAAAATAAATGTCAGCTTTTGTAATTTTTTTGGAAATTAATTTCGTGCTAATGATGGGCATAGGGGTTTGTTGGATGTTATTATGAATTCTGTATTATTATGTTTAATGGAGTAGCTCTTTCAGTAAAGTTGTCTATAATGTGGTCTACTACCCACTAAGAGCAACCTGATTTGGCTTCCTCGAAATATTTTAATTATTTTGTCAATAGGTAAAATCATTTTGCCGTGGATTACTTTTAACTCTTTGGTTGCTTTTTGGTCAGAGGAAATTCCTAATAAGTGGATTGAGTCACCGGATATACTTTCATTTTGCTCTCTGGACCGCGGCTTTGTTTTTCCTGGTAGCTGTTTCCTTTTCTTAGTTTTTTAATATAACATTCTATGTAATTTTTACATGCATGTTTCTAGCTTGTTAGTTTTGCTTTCTTACATTTTTGCACTTGTCCTTATCTTAGGTGAGCAAGTCCGTGTACTTGCTTGTTTGTCCACAGATAAACATGATACTGAAATTATTACACCATTTAAAGTTGCTGCGGTCATGAATAGAAGTGGTGTTGGTCAAAACACCAAAAAACAAAACGAGGAGCCTGAAAATGAAACAAATCCTGTTTCTCAAATAGTGGATATGGGTGCTGACGAGAATGTTAATCAGAATGGTGAAAATATGATCAGAGATGATAAGCAGAATGGTGAAAATGTGATCATAGGGAAGATGGATTCACAAAAGAATGTTTCGGTTGGTGAATCTCTCCTTAGAATGGAAGATAACAAAAGAAAGACTGAATCATTGTTACAAAGGTTTAATAACTCTCATTTTTTCGCTCGGATTGTGGAATCTAATGAACCACTATGGTCAAAGAGACGAACTTCAGAAGACTCTGTCAAATCTTTTGAAATGTTTGAAAAAAATCTGACAGAACAATCTTCAGAAACTGTAAATATTTTGAAAAAGAAGAACCATCTTAATGCTGCTGCGATTGATAGAGGAGAATTTGATGCCCGAACATCTGGAGGATTGGCAAGGAATGCTGTAAAGTGTTGCTCTCTTTCAAATGGAGACCTAGTGGTATGACCCACAGAACTCTAAATGGCTATTATATCATTCTTTTATTTACCAGGAGATGCTCTCCCATCATCATTACCCTTTATCTATCCTATGTAGAATAACAAAATTTTGTCCATTGCTCTTAAAAGAGTTGCTCTTGGACAATGTTATATTCACGATAGGTTTATTCCTTTGCAAAATTGCAGTTGAGCGTGAGCTAGAATATTTTTGTTTAGTTGTGCTTTAACTTATTCCTTGGTCTTGAGTATCACAGAAAGCAAAAGTCGTTAGCAGCCAATGTGATTTTCTCTGATGTATATACATGTATACATAGCCATTTGCATGTGTGTTTGTGAACTTGTAAAATACATTTTGTATCTGTTAATTTTCCTTTTCCCCAACTTTACTTCAACCCTGCTCTTGTAAGATCAAGGTCAGGTTTGGTTGAAAAGCAGAAAATGGAGATGTTAAATTATCCCAACTAGATGCAATGTGTACTATTTTCCAATTCCAATTGGTGTTATAGTAATGCTTTCTGCAGACCCTATGTCACGAGTGATAAATCATTTTTGGACTTAAGGTTTTCTTTTCCTCAACTGGTGGCGTTGACTTGTATATATTCTGCTGATATGAAGTCCATTTTCCTTTTTGGAAGGATGCAGGTGCTTTTACAGGTAAATGTTGGTGTTGAGTCTGTGCAAGATCCTGTCCTGGAAATTCTTCAGCTTGAAAAATGTCAGGAAAGAAATTTAACCCTTGATGACCAGAAAAATCTTAACCTTCTAGATCAGGATCCTTACGGAGAGTTGTTAGAGTGGCTGCTTCCTTTGGATAATTCTATTCCTCCTCCAGCACGCCCTTCATTACCTCCTAAATTGAGTTCCAGTTCCAGTATTCGGAGCACATCAACGAAACCGACTGTAACCGGGTCATCCGGTTCTCAAATTTTCTCTTTCGGTCACTTCAGAAGTTATTCAATGTCCTCACTTCCACCAAACACAACACCACCTCCAGCCGCTACAACTCCAAGTGCTAAACCAAGCTTTGACCCTGAAGATTGGAACCAATTTTCATTTCGAAATTTAGTGAAAAGTAGGAAAACTGGAAATGACAGGCTCTTATCTTTTCGGGGCGTGCCATTGGAATCAGAAAGATTCTCCATCCAATGTGGTTTGGAAGGAATATTTACACCTGGAAGAAGATGGAGAAGGAAAATTGAGATAATTGAACCTGTAGAAATTTGTTCTTTCTCTGCTGATTACAACACAGATGACCTTCTATGTGTCCAGATAAAGGTGTGGTTTCGTTTAACACCCCCTCCCCCCCCCCCC